GAAAGAGATGTTTTATTTGGCTCCTTTTATAACAAGGGGAGAAAGATTTTGGTGTCTGGAAAAACACCTCTGAATCTCTTTTATCTTCTTTAAATGGGAGTCATCTTAAGAGCCCTGCAGTACAGAAGGGGTGCAGATATCAAGCCTTATCTTTGCCACATGTGTGAGAAATCTGCCTCTCTATGAAAACATTGTGCAGCACAGGATTAGAGGCAATGTAGGGCAGCCTTTCATCTCTGGGATGTGACACCGAGCCCTGGCCAGATCAAAAAAGCAGAAGTCTTATTCCCCTCATGCAGCCGTGAGCCGGGGAAACGGCATGAAAGCCAAGAGACAAACACCCCAGTGAAGCTGATTAAAGCCGCTGGCAACTATGGGGGAAGCTCCGCTCTCCTGCCTGCCCAATTTCAGTGTTGCAGGGTGTAAAAATGGTTCACAATTAAGAGCTTTTGATTTCCGTACCGAATCCTCTACCTGCCAAAGGGGAACGTGGGTGCAGCACAGAGACACTTGGAGCAGAACATCAGTGTCGTGCAGGACCTTCTCCAGGTGGACTCATCGGTGGTGGTGGCCCTGTGATGGGTTGTGGTGGCCCCATGGGCTGCACCTCCTGGTCCTTGCTTTCTGAGGGAGCGACAGATGAGACTGAGCCGTGAGAGGTAGCAGTGGAATGCAGAGAGTGAGCACCCTTGAAAGATGGGCTCCTGCGGGGAGCTCTGCGCCTTCGGGGTTCGAGGCTTTGAGGTTTGGCTTTGAGGATGAAGGCGGCAGCATTTAGCCTGGGTCTAGTGGGAAACCCCTTGGATCGTTTTGGCAAAGCAAACACAAAGATGAGAAATTTGGCATGTGCTTTTATTTTAACATGCCATATTTTTAAGCTGCAGTCCACTATGGATTGATTAAATTATTTTGGTAGACTTGCTCAGGATATATCTAGCCATTACCTCCAATTCAATGCTTGTGGTAAAGTCTATTTCTAACTTAAAATAAGCAGAATGAGAAACAAATTATGTTCTTGTTTAAGTACTTAAAAGGAAAGATAATAGATCAAGAAAAAAAAAAGATGATTGGTCTAGCAGGGAGAGGTTTATAAAAGGTGAGTGCCAAATGAGTGACATGTTTTCCGTAAAATCCTATTTCTCATTAGTATTTTTTCATTTGTTCATTCCATTTAGTCCAACCTCCCACTAAAAAAAGTGAATCTGTGGACACAATTTCCATCATTTACCCACAGTTTTGCTAAAAGTTCATTGTAACAAATCTGACTCTGAAGTAAAACGCTGCTTCAAAGTAATGTGAATGAAAGGACAAATTCTTTGTTTGAAAAATGAAAAAATCCAGTGCTTAATACTGAAATGGAAAAAAATTGGTTTGGGCTGAGAAAAATGGTTTGCTTGATATAAACTTAAAAATTGATTTGTTGAACTGTCTCAGGAACTGAACGTGTTTCAGCTTGAGCCAAACCAAATTTTTCTTTTTCATTTCCCCCTCTGCCTCTGAGCTGAAACATTTGTTACTGGCTCCCCTCTATTTGCCTGTACAAACGGCAGTAGATACGCAACAAATGGTGACATAGTGTGATGTTGTCTGTCTCCTAATGGAGCAAATATTATTCAAAAAAAAAAAAAAGAGATTAAAGCAGAACAGGAGCTGAATCTGATGCTTGGGGAAAGCAAATGTGCATAACGGTGGGTTCAGAGAGAACCGTGCTGATGTTGGCCGCCTCTTCCCGACAGTTGGCAGCTTGTGCAAGCAGAAAGACCCCGAGTGCGACAAGGAAACTTCTGAATGCACCGACTTCGATGGGATCGCGCTCTGCCAGTGCAAAAGTGGGTACTTCAAGTACAACAAGATGGACCACTCCTGCAGAGGTATTGCTCTTTATGTGGTGTATTTTGCCTGAATTTTGCTTAAAGTTTTTCTTCCAGTGGAAGTGAGTGTGTGTGTGTGTGTGTTTATCACTGTGCGTGCAAGAAGCTCAATATTATGAATAAATATTAGCAGCTCAGGTTTCTTTTATTTAGTTAGGGAACTTTTCAGCAGACGCTGAAGATACAGTCTCTCTCTAGGAACAATATTATCTCTTTCTGGAGCACGCTGTGAGTCACAGTGATGGAGAAGAGGGAGAAAGGGGCCCGACTGCTTTGGGCTCCAGTTCAGTGGCACAGAGCAGAGATGACGTGCGGCTCTGCCTGTTTTGATTTTGTCTGAACTCTCAGCGAACTTAGGAGAAGTGCTTTAAACCCACAAGCTTATATTAGTACTTCATCAATATTTTTAAAATAAGTATCTGAAAATGATTATGAATTTATTTTTCAGCTGGGTTCCTAATAGAAATTTTAAACTTAAGGGTTATATTATCTTTCAGCTACTCCTCAGATCATGAAATCTGGTTTTGCTACATTTTAAACAAAGTCTTTGTCTGTGTGCAAGTGGTCAAAATGAGTTCTCTAGAATCAGGGTGTCCATTCCCTAGTTCCAGTGGTCATGGCAGGGATTCTTAGGAAATGGAGTTTTCTGATGACATATCAAGAAGAATTGTGATAGTGGTTGTAGATTGTTTCTGGCAGAATCTGCTGGTTTGCTGTTGAAATAGGAGGAGATGCTTTGTTCATTCCAAATCCGATCAGAGTGAGAAAAATGTGTCTGGAAATCACTCCTGTGCTGCAGGCTCTGGGATGGACATCTCTGACATGGGCACCGCTGGGTCCCAGGTCGTGGCCCTACCTCTCCTCTGCTCTGCGGCTCCAGGCATAGCATTTCTGCTTTGTGTTTTTCTTCCCTCCTTTCGTCTTGTATGCTGGAGGAAGGATTTTTATTAGGAAATGCTAACTGTCTCCACCGACTCTTGAGAGGCAGAGAAGGGCTCATGCAGTGAGCTGGGAGCTGAGCTGACACCTGGGAGGCTTTTGCCCAAATCCTGCTCTGCCACCAACAGTGGGGATCCAGGGCGAGTTACTCTGTTTTTCTTGTCCATGTCCCTTGCCAAGCAGTGTTGTGAAGATAAATAACTGAAACGCTGTAAGGCACTTGGATATGATGGTTTCAGAGGGGTAAGAGATCTAACACCTTGTCCATGTGGTTACGCCCTACTTACAAGTCTTGTTTGCTGTGCTAAATATAAAAAACCCTATCTGCACACAGCGAGAGCTCAATTCCACCTTCAGCTCACTGGTCTCAGGAGGAAACATCTTACTGACCATCCTGAGAGTGCCTGAGGGGCAGGGTTGATATGGGATTTAGGCTGCAGTATAGTGGCATGAGAGTAGCAGCGACTGCATGGTGCCACGCTCCAGCAAGGTACCAGATTTTCAGCATCACTCTGTTCTCATCCAGGTAAGCCAGGCGGCCAGGATTTTTAAGGGCTTTTTCAAAAGCCAAGCTATAGCCCTCATGTGATGTTTGGGGCTGTTTTGTGATAAAAATAGTATACAATATGCCAGCCTTTTTGAAAACCTCTGCCTTCTTAGCGACTAAACAGGAACCGAGGTCTCCTAAGCATCCGACCCTCATTGTGGGTTGTGAAAATGTGGCGCGGTAACTCCAATTATAGTATTTGTAAAGAGGGAAATGGCTGTTGTGCCGCCCTGTCCGGTCTCTCCCATGGGAAGACGGGTGGGGCAGGGGCGACCGGGCACCCTGACCCCAGGGATTGTTCTGCCCTGGCTTGTGGTGTCTGTCCCCCAGGGCATGCTCAAAAAAGGGTCCCCTGGACCAAGGAAGGGTTGGGTCTCTGAGCCGCAGAAGTTTTGATGTGTTGGCTGTGGTACCTCTCAGTGTGCAGTTGGGTCGTCTCTGGGTCGTTGCTGGTTTTCAACCTGCCTGGTATCTTCAGGGCTGTTTTAGAAACAGGGTGACAAACTCAATGTGCCAGCTTTTCAAGGGCATGCTATTTTTAATAGTACAGAGTGTTTCTGGAGCAAAGCAAGGAGCAGCAAAGCAGGATTCCAAAGAGACACCTGAGTCTCTTCTCTTTTGAGAAGGTGAAGGCAAAAGACTCCCAAGTAGGAAAGCACAACTTGATAGCTTTGCTTGGCCCCTGACACTTCAGACTTTCCTCTGTTCTGTGTTCATGTTTGAAAGCTTGCCGAGAGAGTGTGACACCACGAGCTCTCCTGGGACCATGTTCAAAGAAGCAGGAAAGATGCCAGAGGAGAAAGCAAAGTGGCAGGAAGAGGCAGGGTGAGGACAGGAAAAGGCATCAGCACCAAGCATTTAAGTAAGACAGAGAGATGTACGTTCAGGATCTTGCCTTTCCTCTTTACCCTCGCTGTAGCCGCCTGGCCCGAGAGCTGTGTGCCGGTGAGGTCCCAGGGCTGCTCCTGCCCCAGGCACGGCTCCAGCTTCAAGACCGCTCAAGGTGTAGGTGCCCTACACCTGTCATTGGGCTCGGGCCAAAGGGTGAGCTTAGGTGGGCTCCAGCACCTGCCTGCAGGCACCTCCAGGCCTTCCCAACACGCCAGCGGCGGGCTGGGGCTGGGGTGCGCGGCGTTGCTGTGCTCGTTAAAGAAGACAACTCCAGCAAGCTGTCGTGGTGATGCCTCCCGCCCCTTCACTGCAGATTTTATTATTCTCTGATCTTGTGGCTTGCTTTGGTAGAACATTTGCTCCGTAATGTTTTCAATCCACTTCTGTTAGCGGGTGAAAGGAGCAACCCATCCAGTCCCATTTTACTAATGCCTCGGTGTTATGAATGAGCCATGCAAGGATCCTTTGGGATTCACTTCTCTTGCGCTGGCTGTTTGTTGACTGAGGCTCTTAGCTCTTGTCCAGTTACCTCTGGTCTCTTCTGTGAATTCAAAGAAACCATCTTAGAGAGAGATAAATAAATCCAGTGCAAAAATCATCATGATGAGATGCAGCAGGGGGGCTACATAAAGAGCCTCACCCTCCTCATCCCCAGCTCTGGAGGAATAAATGGAATGAAAGAGGTAGTGGGGGAGCAGTGGGGCTATGTAGGGCAGAGAAAGGGGTGCAAGACCAGCTATCGCAGACATCAGCCCCCCCCGTCACCGTTGGTGCCAGTTGCTATGGCAAGCCTGTGCCTAGAACTGCAGCATTCATCATGTGAGCACGTCACTCATCAGCGTCCACACACCTTGAGGGAGAACGGCCTGCTGAGTGACACGAGACGCTTAGTACGTGGTAGACAGGCAAACAGTGTTTCAGTATGACGACAAGCAAGGCCACGCATCCACGAGCAGTGTCTGGCACACTGCGGGTTGCATCTCCTGGAAAGCAGAGACTTGGGCAGAGCTGCGAAGGGGGCCTGGCGGGTGAAGAAGAGGTCCTCAGCCCTGGCTTGTAAGGCTAATATGGTCCCTGCGTGCACTAAGGGGGCACAGGCAGGCAGAAGAGGGGAATTTATGTTATCCGTGGGCTTGCGACATCTGCTTCTGGGAACCAGAAATCAAAAGGGTCAAAGAGAACCTGTGAGCGTTCAGAGAAAAGCTGTAATAACCAGGGAGACTCCAGATCTCAGAGCGCTTGGCTTTATTAAAGGCGGAAGAGTGATTTGATGGTGAGTAGGAGAAATGTGATCATATAAGCTTCTTCAATCTAGCAAGTAAACTTCCGAAGGCTGGAATTTGACACTGGGATTATTCAGACTAGAAAGAAGGTGAAGGTTTTTAATGGTTGGGGAGATTAACTTTATAGGCATCTGACCCAAGGTTGTGGTTGATTGTCTGTCACTGAAAATATTAAAACCAAAGTTGGATGGTTCTCTAAAATGTAGCTCCAGTTCAACTATTTGATTTGAAACTGGAATTAAATTTAGGGAAGTTCTGTGACCTGTATTATGAGGGGGAGGTCACAGTCACATTGCTCCCTGCTGGCATCGGTATCACTTGTTATTCGTGCTGGAAGAGCCGTAAACTTCTGCCTCCAGCCGGAATACTAGTGCTCTCTCTTGGCTTACTGTGATATTGCCAGCCCATCCTAATGGCCAGCGTTACATGTTTGTCCTTCTTTTCTTCCTTCCTCTCCTCCTGTTCTAAGCATTTCTGAAAACGCAGTCACTTGCTGTGCCAGAGGGGAAAAGGCATCTGGTGTGCTGGGAGCAGCCGAGGAGGAGGTGAGGGTTTTTCTGCGGCTCAGCTCTGCTAGAAGCCCCCTCTTCTGCCTCCAGATTTCCTCACACTTGCTGGGGTTAGAGAGCACCCGAGCATTTGGCTGTGGCTTATCCCTACAGTTAGGGAGCAAGGCAGAGGGAAGAGGGCTTGAGAGCTGCTGCCTCACTGGTTTTAAGCCTATGGTGTTTGAGGGGAAGAAGAGATCCATAAGCATTTTTGTTTTCACTTAACAATCTAGTTCTATTCCCTGTGGAACGTGCTGCAGGGGTTTCCCAGACCCCTGGGTGATGCCTCGCAGACCCCCAAGGGCTGCTGCGTGTGCTGGCCCTGGCTTGTCCCGCCACCCAAAGCGGCTCCGTCTGTGTCACTCTTGCTCAGGTCTTTGAGCCACCACCTTTGCTGCCTCTGCAAAAGGCAGCGGGTTTGCAGGAGCTGTGGTGGGGCTGTTGCTGGGAGAAGTGGTGACCTTACCAGTAGTCTGAGGTTTATAATTGTATGTCCAAAGTATCATCACCTTTTGCTGTTCATCGGCTGGGTAGTATAATTTTCTCAGCTAATTCAGGTGAAGAGAAAACTGTCCAGAAGCACAGAAATTATTTTGTTTTGAAGTGATGGTTTCAGTTTGCCACTAACATTTTGTACGTAACAGTTTTCTCGGTTATTTAGACCTAGTAAATGTAATTTCTTGTCTATCATAAAATACGATATTTCAGAATTTGATTTAGCTCCAAATTTGAAAGAAAAGAAAAAAAAAGGTGAAAGGAGGCAAAACAGAACATACTGCTCTGGGTTACTCTGACTGTGTTTGCAGAACATTTTGTTGCAATACTAACATTTAAAAGTGATTGAGAACGTGCATCAATGCTAAAGTAGCACTGTTCAAATGAGGTTGCAAAACAAAAACTGGAGACACTTGCAGGTTTTTTCACACTGCTATTTTGTGGCAAGCAATGGAAGTGTGCAGTGCGTTTCCATCTGGGCAAGAAGACATTCTGCTGGGAATTACATTTCCAGCTGCCCACCCTGTGCCAGGTTCCGAGCTAGCTCTGCCGGGAAGCCCTGAAGTCATCCTGTCAGAGCAGAGCCAACGGGAGGTGAATTTAAGTGCACGGTGTTTTGCCTGAGCCGGAGGAGATCTTGCATCCCATCGGAGCGTTCCCGCTGGGGCAGCGGCCCAGGCCGGCGTGTCGGTCCCCAGGGCTGGCTGGGGTGAGGCTGCCGTGGGCAGCGGCCATGGGAATTGCCTCCCCTGCACCACTGCGCGCTGCTCATGGCCCTTCTCTCCTCTCTGGTTTTAGCCTGTGAAGATGGATATAAGCTGGAAAATGAGACCTGCGTGAGGTATGGTGACCGTTCTGCCCTCCTCCTACCCCACCATCCTTCTTAATAGTGCTTTGGTGACCTGGAAGCACAACTAAGCCGCTGAAACTCCCTGTTGTTTTCTGTTACTAGCTGCCCGTTTGGCTTAGGTGGATTCAACTGTGGGAACCGTAAGTACCAAGTTTTGTTTCTTTTAATTTGCAAGGCGTCAGAAACGGGAAATTTGAAACGAGTAATTGCAGATGACTATGTCTAAAATGCCGTAGCTACATGCTGCTGTTGTCGGTGTTTTTTCTTTCTTCATTTTCTGTTGAAAATTATTTTGTTGATCATCTTTGACAAAGTTGACAATGTTATGAGGACCGTGGACGTGTTTGCGTTAGTGTTTACAATGCAGCGCTGCTTCTAAATGAGTCTCTGTCTTTCCCGTCTGTAGCCTACCAGCTCATCACTGTGGTGATCGCGGCTGCAGGAGGGGGGCTTCTGCTGATCATGGGCATAGCACTGATTGTCACCTGCTGCCGGTAGGTACCACCGCCAGCCCCGATTTGCGTGGCATCCTCTCCGTAGATTACACCACACTTACTGCTCCACTCGTGAAGCCTGAAGGACCAAAACATAGGTCAACACATAGGATAGCTAAGAAAGTGGGTTAGTCAGAGCTACTGAAGTATTACATTGTGCTTTCATTTGGGGTATATCTTTTTTTTTCCCAGCAACCAGGCTGAAAAATTCAACTCAGTGTCTCTTAAGGATGCACCTGGCAATCATGTCCTCCAGGGATGGGGAGGCGAAGGAGTCCTCCCCACTCAGAGCTGTAAGGCGGGCAGGGAACAGTCTCCAAAAACGCAAGCTAAGTAGAAAGGACAAGTTTAGGCAACAGGAGGGGTTGCTGGCCATTGCTCAAGTGGTGTTTCAGTGTATTTAAGGCTATTTTTGTTTTCCTTTATGGAAGAGTCCTGCACGTGGTCTCACTCTGTGTGTGTCTCCCTCTCAGACCCAGAGACGCATGTAGACATGTGACTCCCGTACCAGCAGGTAGCTTTGGACTGGAGGCAAAATGTGCTGCTGAGCAAGCTCTGCTTCATGATTTATACATCACAAAAAGGGCTGCCTTGCAGTATCACCCTCTCCCCCCTGTTCCAGACCCCAAATCTGGCATTTTAAAGATCTCTGATCAATGTTGGTGGCTGGATTTACCAGTAACATAGATGTGGCAGTGGTTTGGATGGCACAGTGGTGTGCACTTGTTCCCATGTGTTTTGAGCCAGGGGAACACCAGCAAGCCCCAGCCCAGAGGTGCGATGACCAGCACACCTCCAGGCTCCAGGGCGCGGATCTCTGCAGGGATGGATGGATCTTCTCATGAGTCCTGGCCTGTGGCAGGTTATGTGGCTTCCTGGAGGGTACTCTGCTTTGAACTGGGAGTGTCACCAAAGTCCACTCATGCAATGTAGTAGTCATATGGGGGCATTTGCTCTCATTCAGACAGGCAGCTTGCAGGCCTTCCTTCTTAGGAATTAACATAGTGCCTAGAAGTGTTATAGTTAAGTAACTGGAGACTTCGGCAGCATGGAGGCTCCAACACATTTTTCTTTCTTCCTGGATTATGTGACTTTTTCATTGACCCAGGTGAACACACTCATCTTTAAGAGACAACGGGCCTAAGTTGGAACAGGAGGGGTTCATACTGAATGTAGGGAGAAAGTCTTTCACCAAGAGGACAGTAAGGGTGTGGAACAGGTTGCTTGGAGAGGTTATGCCATCTCCATCCTTGGAGATTTCAAATCCCACCAGATAATGCCCTGATTAGCATGATCTGACCTCATATCTGATTTTGCCTCAGAGCAGAAGATTGGACCATTGCTCTTCTGTGGTGATCTTTGTTCTCAGTCAAAGTTCATAACATGAAGTAAATCTCCTGAGATCAGATCAGAAATGCATACAAGAGAGCAGGATAAGTTGTGTGTTTTCACTTTCCTTCATTTTTTTATAAACAGGAAGAATAAAAATGACATAAGTAAACTCATTTTCAAGAGTGGAGATTTCCAGATGTCACCGTATGCTGAATATCCGAAGAACCCACGGGCACAGGAGTGGGGCAGAGAAGCCATCGAGATGCAGGAGAATGGAAGCACCAAGAACCTGTTGCAGATGACAGATGTGTATTATTCGGTATCTATCCATAGCTCAGCTATTAACCCTTTGTGCCTGATACAGCAAAGACATATTCCTTTATTTTTCGAAGCACAGATCCCTTTCCTGCAAAATAAAAGAACAAATAAATGAGTCCCATAGACAGCAAGGCATTGGTAATCCTATGGACTCCAGCTGTTACACATGTGGTGAATATCACAAAGAGATGTCATTAGGAGGAGTGCTAGGGAAGTGTCTAGGAACATTTTGGTAGATGCCTAAAAAGCCTAATCCTAGAGTAGGGAAGGGGAGTTAAAGGTTTTGGACAAGCTGCTAGGAATTCCTCTGGGTAGTTTTCTCCCTTCCACCCTCACTGATGATGCTGAAAGGGTGAGACCTCTGCCTGGGTACATGACGGCCCCCTCTTGCCCTCCACTCTTCCCACTCTCCAGGGTACAGGCCCCTTCCTGCAGCAGGAAGGGTGCATAAGGAGCATCCCTCCAGCTGTGGGGGAACAAGTGATAGGGAGGAAGTGGTGGAGGAGTAATGGGCTGTGTAGGGCAGAGAAAGATATAACAGCTGCTGTCATGGTTGGTACCATCTGCTAATGTCTATCCAGAGCCATGATTCTGGCTTATCATATGTCACTAATCTACAGCAACATAGTGGATGTACTTAAGGTGTGTGGGGGCTACTCATGTGAGTGAATGTTGCAGGATTTCACCCGAATCACACATTCTGGACTCCTACTTTCCAGAGCAGAAAGCAGCGAGCACTTTTTTCTGGCTTGTATTTTAAGTTTTCCAGTAAGCAAGTTTACTGGGTTGCACAGCACAAATGGAAATAATCTTCCTTCCTACTTCCAGTAAGAATAAGAGATTTGGAAATGAAAATGCATTTCCTAAACATTTTTTAAGAGTTTTATAATGCTGGCGACTAGAAAGGGGAGCTTTTTAGCAAGGAATAGGTGATGAGGGCTTTGCATGGATCTGCTCTGTAACATATCAAACCAGGTGGCTTGATGTTGTTTACTGGGTGAAAGGATTGTACAGTCTTGGTGTTAGACATCAAAGTTTCTCAACCAGGTGTCCCCAGGAGATTTCCTTAAGTAAGAGAAGGGAAGAGAAAGGAAGGTCAGATCACTTGTATTTGACATATAATTGAAGTGCCTGTGTTGGGAGAGTCGGTAGCTCTGGTTAATGGCGAGAGAAGTGCTCCCAGGTAATACTTAGAGCAGGAGATGAATTTTCATTTCCTAGAAGCATTTCCTTTAAGGATGGCTCTGGGACAATATACTTTTTGTGAGCCTGAGCTCATCAACACAATTATCTTAGATTAAACATTAACTGTGCGCTTAGACTGCACTTGGTGGAGTCAGGTAAACCTCAGGTTTTCTAATTGGCAAGATGTCGAAAATAGATTGCGTCAGAATAATCCCTTCAGGCAATTAATGACTCCCACAGTAGAAGTCAGTCTAGGTTATAGAGATCATTAGCGATCAGGTCATTCCATCTAGCTACTGAAATAACTGCTGGGAAAAGTGGTAATTCTGTGCATGAAGGAGGATTTGAGTGTGAGAATAAGACCCTTTTTATTTAATTTTTTTGCTAATACAGCCAACTGGACTGAGAAATGCTGAACTGGAAAGAAACGGACTTTATCCTCCTTACACTGGTTTGCCTGGGTCTCGACATTCATGCATCTACCCTGGACAATACAATCCATCCTTCATTAGTGACGAAACCAGAAGAAGAGACTATTTTTAGCAGGGAGTGGAGAGGGAGTGGAAGATTGACACAGTTTTGTGGCCCTTGATCCCCGGGTACAATCTGTCTCCTGGGCGGTTTTTTTTTTATTCCCATTTAACAGGAAGGACTTGGAACTTTATGCTGAGCATTGCAGTCCTGAGGAACGGTTACGCTTGCTGAGCAGTAGAGAGAAGGAGGAGGAAGTAGGAACGGCTCCAGGTGCACATCACTAAAAGACCCAAATGGAAGTTAACACATGTACTCCGGATTTGTTCTGTGCTGCTTCTTCACTCTTCACGCTACACGGCAAGCATGGATCAGTACAGGCAGATGAACTCTGGCCAGCACTCTGCGTTGAATACCACTAGGGAGTGTTTTGTTTACAGATCTTGTTCACTGTTGACTGTGCTTGTCTTTTTAGCCGACCTTGATGCAAAGATTCACGTGCAACTCCGTTTGGTAGGACAAGTTTGTCCACTCCCTTTTCCGTTGCTGCATTGCTTTCTGCTTTGTACACGACAGGGAAGCTGGCCCTCACCTTCTTACTGGTAGAAGTTCTCCAGATGACTGGGTCCTTGCTGAAGCCTGGTGCCTGGCAATGTTGGCTGAATTCATGGGCTGATAGTCTCCAAGGAGTATGGGAAAATTAGTCATGCCACTGCAATTCCAACTGAAAAAAAGATACAGATGATGCTATGCACTGCTTTGAAAACTTCCTGTATATAGGGAAGAGTCCAACTAGATTGTTTTGTCAACCAGCATTGTTCAAAAGAGATATCACTACACATCGTCATAGTGTTTCTGTATAGGATCTTATGGGGCTCTGTTTCCCTGGAGGGATTTAAATGCCTGTAGAAACAGCAATATAATGTTAAATAGTTGCTCACAGGGAAGGAAAACATGAGCTGGGGGTTCAGCATGCTTCTTACAAGGAATCTGGGAAGGAGCAATAATGCTATAGCCCTGGTTGGGCAGCTGAAACGTGAATTCTTGGCACTGCAGGTGGGACATAGTTTTCAAGCCTCTGCAGCCCACCTTGACTTCCAGAGGAGCTGTGGAGGCTTTCAGTACATTGGAAAATAAGGCTCACTGCAGTCCATTACATTTAAGGAAGAGAAAAATATGATGTTTTCAGTCCTAATGGAGCAAAGATCACTTACGTTGAAGTGTTTTGCTTTCTTCCATCCTAGTTTTGAGTGATTCAGACCAACCAGATTTCCTCATCTAGGTGTGTTATTTCATGTTCATCACCTCGGCAAAAGCTGAAGAATGTAAGTTGTTGCATGTCTCACCAAAGATCAGATTGAAAGCTCGTAGACTGTACTCTGACCTGAGCTAGGTGTTGAAAGAGATCTTATTAATGAAGCATATTTACTGCTTATCTTTACTGCAGTGTTAACCTGGGTAATCCAGACCCTGTCCAGATACAGATCCTTTCCCTGAATGTGACTGTGCTCTTAACTCAAAGTGGCTGCTTGTATGACGATAACAAATAGCACAATTCCTTAGCCATTAAGCCACCATCTCTGTAGTGCATATATCAGCTAGTTTCACTGTGCCACACATACCCCCTGATACTCCCTGCTCCCCTGCAGTGCTCAAAAAGACACCGTGCCTACAAGTAAGTTCATAAGGTGGCTTGGCTCACGGTCAAGCACTAGGGACCATGGGATGCATCCCCCAAAGTGCCTATCCCCGAGTGTGAACAGCAGTTCAGATGCTGGTGTGTTGTGTACTTGCTCACTGGAGAGAAACCTGGGGTGATGACGAGCCCTCTGTCAGGGAGTGGGTAGTAGTATTTGCGTCCTGTAGATGCTGTGAGTCCCCAGATCTTTTCCCAGCACTTCGAAGGCTGTTTTGTTCCCTATCAAAAGTCAGCAACAGCTACCCAGAGGAAGGGCAGCTAGCACTAGGCAGTCATCAGCTGTGTGGGCAAAGAGGTTTCTGGTCCCTGCTCACATTTACTTCTATTTTCTTGAAACGGCAAGGCAGGAAAGGCACCACAAGTGTTCTTGAGAACACATAGTTTGGTGCATCAGCCGTAGCACACAAACTCAGTGTCTCTTTATGCCTCACCCGTTATCTACTATATAGAAACAGCGGTGTGGTCTTGCAGAAAAACAGAAATTTGTGGATGCCTAGAGCAGTATGCTTTGCACTTACATGATCTTATGGTGATAATACATGCAACTTCATGTCTGTTTGATCCATCATCAACCTTGCAGGTGGTAGTACACAGCTAATCTCGGCTGTAGGGAGGGAATGAATGCATGCTCATGGGAAGTACATCTGCCTAAGGAGCTATACTTAAGGAAAACTCTAGCTACAGTATCCAGAATAGTGTAACAGGTAAAGCACAGGAACTAGCTGCCCCCTGCCATGCTGGCAAGTGTTTCCAGTCCATGAATAATATTCTTCTTCCTTTTGTTAGCAGCCAAGATCTTAATTACACAGGATCCATTGGATGACATGAACTAAGGGCTTGACTCTGCTGTGCTGTGGGATCCTTCAGAGAGGACATTGGCAGGGTCCTTTCTGTGCGGGTGAGTTGCCTCTGTTTTCGAGAGTGCCCAGGACAGAAAGGACTGCCTCTCCCATGGTGTGGAGGAGGGTTTTGTCTGTGTTACAAAAGAAAGGGGGAAGCTGGAATTCATGCTAAATCTAAATCCAAAGTCTACAGACAAGCACTGGGCTCTGCCCATATTTACTAAAGCATCTTAGCAAAAAAGGAACAGTGTCCCAGCAATAATGGTAGGATTTAACCATGTGCCAGCAGTCCGTCATGTAGGGAAGAGTTTAGACGCATGTTTATAGGCAAATATGCTTAATTACTTGGTTAGTTCAAAGACTGGGAAATGTACTTGTGTGTTCCAAGTACAAAAGACAAAGCAGGAAATGCCAACACAGAATTGCAGATCAATCCTTCTATATAAAGTGTAACATGTGGACTATATGAATAAAACTCCTGGTCTGTATCTCATGCAAATTGCAGTGGTTTCGGTGGAAACGAGAGAAAACCATTCCTAACTGAGATTGCACAAGAGTTTGCAAGTAATTGATTTTCATTTCTTAATGATCTTCAGATTCTTCTTAATGCTTTATCTGGATTGAAAGGGTCTTGTTAAACCCAGTAGGATTTTCTGAGTGAGGGCTGCAAAACTTGGCCTTTTCCAAAAGAGAGAACTTTAGTTCACTGAAATTTTCTCTCTGCAAAAGCAGGTAAACATTGGGAAATTTCTTATGAGAATGTATCCACTGCAGCCTGACCTTCCTTTTAGCTTTGGTAAGAAAGGTGTCATGAAGCCAATGTGTAGTTCACAGGAGGAGGAAAGGGCTCTCTCCTGACCTGGAGCACCTTCTTGGGGTGTCCTAGGAGGCCCCGCTCTGTGGGCAGGAGAGGGTTTAGGCAGGTGTCAGCACCGGGAGGGTGCAGGTGCTTTCCTGCGCGGAGCTCCAGGAAGCCTTTGTGGAGCCGACAGATGATTCAGCCCTTGGGTCCCCACCAGCCCAGCCGCTCCCCATGCTGCGATGCTTCCACCTTCACCCAAGCCCCACCGGCTGTGCTGGTGTGGAAGGGATGGGTGCAGTGCAGTGTGTTTTGCTGCAGTTTCTGACAGTCATTTTACTGCAATTACTTACTACCACATCCCAACAGCACCGGGCTCACCCAGCCGTGGCAGGGATGTCACCTGTTTCTGCGCAGCTTGCCCCTGTTAAAGCAGCTGCTGGGATCCTCTCCGTCTGCTTCCATCTCTGCCATAAATTAAGGACCCTCTGGCAGTGGAGTGGGGCTTGTCGCTCCTGCTGGATGTGACAAGGGTCTTCACATGCGCTTAAGGCCACTTTTGAATGCAGGTGTCTCTCTACTCAGTACCTAACTCCCCATATGATGTCTAAATAAATGCAGCTTATTTCTCAGACTGTTTAGATTACTTTTGGCTACCCCAGATCGCAAATTTTGAGCACATTGGATGCTTTTGCCAAAGGCAATCGCTCTTCGCTGTCCAAGATGATAAGGTAGAAGTGGCATGTTTCTTGTGAGGAGGATGCAAGTGGTTCGGCCAGATGTTGGGAAAGGAAGAAAAACTACACCAACACTGCACAGAAAGCTGCTCTTGCTCCTGGTTGCTGCAGAAAGCTAGGGGAGCAGTCAGCAATTGCCTGTGGGTGGTTGTGTGGCTGTATTTTTTATTAACTTTGGAAAAAATGGTAATTCTGTTGCTTGACAGGAAAAGATGTGGGAGGCACGTGTTTGCTGCTATGGTGCTCTGCCAATTGCGCTGACAAAAGCCCCTCACCCACAGAAATACCTTCGGCAGTCAGCCTGGGGGAGGCAGCCCCAGTGAACAGAGCAGCAAAATGCAGATTGGAAGGACCTTTCAGAAGGCAGGCTCTTACACACAGCCTTCGTGTCCCCCCACCATGCACTGCTGCTCGCCCTGGCCAGCCCTCCCAGCTGCACGGGAAAAATCAGGGGCCTTTTGCATGCTGTTGGAAACCTCATAGCACTGAACTGGGCTATATGAGGAAAAAACAGGACAGGGACATTTTGATGACCTTTGCCCTTCACATTTAAAACGTTAGGTAATACAGCAAAAATGAATCTCAGTGCTGTTGCGGCATTTCCCCGAAGTCCCACTGTCACGGCCATGTACTGAGTCACTCGTGATCAGCCTTCTAGAAGACATTTGCCTCTACACTGGGTGGTAGTAAAAGGCTTTAAAAAGCAGCAATAAATTGCAGTTAGGTGTTTGTCATTGCGAAATTGTTTGTGCCGATACCTGTAAAGGTTGTTTTCCGGGACCTGAGTGAGCAGCAGGGTGGGTTTGGACGTTGCTGCAGGCGCGCCAAGTACTTCCCCGGGGCTTGTCTCTAAGGCTAGTCAATGGCCATATCTGTTCCAAACCCAGCTGGACTTCTCATTCCCTCGTAGTGATGTTTAATCTTCAGTTGTCTTCCTTAAATTAACAGGAACGGATGCATTTTACTTCAATGCTCTTCCTATGCTGACTAATGTT